AAAGAGCATATAAAGCTAACCAAATGCCTTAAAGTGTGAAATCAAATTGCACGACAATTAAAAGCATACTTCAAATGTATACATACATATACTTATATATATGTATGTAATTCTTCTTTGTTTCTGCATAATAAAGCTAAAATAAACATAATGCAAAGTATTAAGAATTATTCTGCTTCGCTTAATACAATTCTGGACACCAAATTAAGCTGAAATACTCAATATCAGATCTAAGCTTATATGAAAGATGCTTTAATTAGAATCCATGAAAGTATGACTTGATTAGTTACAATGAGACCACTTTGGGATCGAACTTTTTAACTTTAAAATAAATGCCCTTGATTTTTGTCTTCAAAGCCCTTCTCTTATTGACCAACATAAGTAACTGCTTAAAATCAGCTAAAAATTTGAAAACTATTATATCGGGTATATATGGGCTAGGACAAATATATTGGGAAAAATGTTTCCACGTAATTTGAGAACGATAACACGCACACTAACCAACGAAAGTCAATATCACAATTTTAGACACGTTCAGCATTAAATTATAATATATTGAATATTGTCGTTCACTTAATTTTGCTAAAATACTAAGATATTGACCAATGTATATGGCATAAGGGCAATCGGAAGTTTGAAATCCTAATATTGGGTGTAAGGGGGCTAGGAATATTGTCAACCCGATTTTATCTATTTTCGACATTAAAATATATGAATACCAGAAAAATACGCTCTATGAAATGGGGGCTAGGGGTAGTATTGACCCAATTTCATCCAATTTCTGTATTACGATATATTATTACTAAAAAAAGATCATCTATGAATTTCATTAAGAAAACTCGCAGTTTTACGGATATAACGGAATAAAGTCAATCGGAAGTTCGAAAAGCTTTTTATTTGGTATATGAAAGCTAAGGGAAGTATTCATTCAATATTATTCCTTTTTGGAACAAGGGCAAACTTATATATGAAAATAATTCCCATAGTAGTTTTAAATTTAACGGTTATATGAGGAGTGGACGGGCTTCATAGCAAATGCTACAAAAACTTCATCTCGGCAAGTTTTGTTGGAATTGGTTTAAAATATCAACGTTTTCATCCTTCCACGAAACAAGTGTATCAAATTTCAATAATATATCTAAGTTTTTACTAGACGGACGGACATGGTATGCATTTAACTTATTAGAGGAGCAGCTACGCCCACTTTTTTAAGATTTTCAAACCACAAGTGCCGCTCCTTAATAAGATTCGTTGTGCAACATTTGGTCTGTATCTCAATTTAAGGCTTAGTTATAGCACTTTATACATTTTCGATTAATGGCATTTTGTGGGCAGTGGTGGAGCGTCCAGGGAACATGTGACCATGAACCGAGATTCAATTAGATATCTGAAATTTTACACAAGTTAAAGCTTGCACAGACATATGGATGGACAAACGGACGGACAGACAGATATGCGGATTTCAACTCGTCTCGTCGTCCTGATTTTTTATATATACATAACCCTATATCTATCTCGATTAGTTTTAGGTGATACCAACAACTGTTAGGTGAACGAAACTATTATACTCTGTAGCAACATGTTGCAAGAGTATAACAAGGTATAACAAGATTGTAGGGCTTAGTAATATAATAGCAAAGAATAAGGACAAATAGTAATCAGATGCTGGAACATTTGAAAACTTTGAACTAAAACCATTTGGCCTTGATAAAAATATTCCAAAGTGTTTCATTATCCAATTTCAAGTTTCGTTAAGTTTGTTTAATTTCTCACTTTGAAGAGTGATGAAGATATCATGTTATAATGATTCAAAATATGAGGGCAAATTTCGTACAAATTGTATACACATACGGATGTTATATCTGTAATAATGCTTCTTTTACCAACGCTACTACACACTTTCAATTTTTCGACGTTATTATTGGTGCTCAACTCACGACAAAGTACTGCTGTTAATATTGCCTGTTGCAATTTTTCAAGGAGCTGCAGCAACTGCTGTAGTGTCCTGTCTCTACGTACGTATGCTGCTACAATTACATTGGATTTTTTTGCCTTTGCTGCAGTATACGTTTGTTGATTTCCACCTCCGTATGTTTATCTGCATCCCGTTGATGGTTGGGATTATTTTGTGGGAATTTATATGCGGCAGCTATAACTTCGTAAAAGGACGTTCGGATCGGCAATGTGTATGTGTGTTATAGCATGGCGCTACAAACCCATGAATAAATGGACAAGGTGCCATAAAACAATAACAAAACGAAAGGCGAAATCAACAAGAGTAACAAGTTGCAGAAACACTATAGCAACAATAAGGAGAGCAGAAGAGAAGCATGATTCCAGCGTTACTCAAATAAATGCGTATACGAGTGTGTGTGTGTGTGCATGAGTGGAAAGCGATTCCTTTTCGGTCTGCGCTTCTGTAAAAGCATATCACACTTAACACTTACAAGGGTATGTGAAGATAAAACTGTTTGTATACTTAACCGAAAACCAACTATTGCTGTGCAACGCATGAGTGTGCAGCTTGTTTGCCTCCATTCTCAGATGAGTTCAAGCAAATGTACCTGCAGGAAAAAGATGAAGTGCTGGGAAATAGTTTTGGTTTGGAACTGGTACCACTTCTATGTTTGCTGAATATAATGATGCTATGAACTACTCCACATAAGTTATGCTATGAATCACTTCTCATAAGATTCAGATTCATTTGCGACATACAAGAAAAAAAAGATGAGTTTACTATGTTATATGGTCAAAATTGTATTAATTTTATTTATTATTTTCCCATAATAAAAAATGTGTACGACATTTCGAGAATTGCTTATTTTAAATTAAAAACAAACAGGGAAAAAATAGTAATGTATGAAATGATTTCGGTATAGCTGTGTGCATTTCCATCCTCGCTGCAATTGAGATATCTTTATAATTCGAGTACTTGATACAGGTCTTTCTTGACACTCTGTGAATATATTACAACTATTTATATTATCACACCAATAAAACGACATGGTTCAACAAAACAGATAAAGATTAAATATATATTTAATTAATTTATCACGCAATTAAAACTACTTATATATTTAGTAAAGGTAATCGTGGTAGAGCGTTCATAGTTTATTAAAGTCAAGAACTCGAGAGAAAAAATTTTACATCATCCTATCGTCTTGTGAATTCGAAAATTATAAATAAAATGTGTTAGCTATTTAAGGTATAATACTAGAAATGTTGTATTTGGTTACGTTAAATATTGAGGATCCATGAAGCATGGTAATGTAGCTCACAGCTTTACACTTCGACATTTATTTTTGATCCCAACAAACAACAAGCATGTATCATATATCGCTAAGATGCTTTGAACCTATAAGAAAGCTGTTAAAAATAAATGAAAATTAATTCCTTTTATAAACTGACAGAAATATTCACCGAAAAATACTTGTATAATTATGATAAAAGTGTGGTATGCTCGATATACTTAAAATATGGCACAAACCATCCCATGTGTTTGCAGAATGAATAATTCATGCCTTTAGCTACTTAGTTTTATAGTCGTTGTATGATTTCGCTTATTTTCACAGTGTGCAATAGAAATGGCGGAGTAACCTCATATACCAAATTTGGTTGAAATTATTTCGATAGTTCCTGACATATAGCATTTCCTTCCAGTAAATTTGGTCGAGTTAACTTCAGCGGTTTGAAAGATATTTACATAAAACCATTTAGGGGGCTACGCCTACTTTTAACAAAATTTCTGCCTTTATGTGTCTTTTATTACGGGGATTCCCTGTAACAAATTAGAGTTTGGTATCTTAATTTAGTGCTTAGCTACGTCTCTTTATAGGTTTTCTTTTAATGGCGTTTTGTGGGTGTGGCAGTTGTCCGATTACGCCCATCTGCAATACCGACCTCTCTTGGGTGCCAAGAAATATAAGTAGCAGGTTTCATCAAGATATCTCAATTTATACTCAAGTTATCGTTTGCAAGGAAAAAGTTAAAAACATACAAACATACACACATACACACATACATACAAAAATATAAACTACACTTGAAGATAATAAAAGCCTTATAAAAAAGGAAAATCTTTTGAAAGCAGAATAGCACATAAGAAAGTGCTGAGATGATTCTAACTCTCCATTTTCCAGACAACTTCCACAGTTGGTGTCCTGCAAAATCGATGTCCTTTGGGCAATGAGGTGTTAAACATTTTATTGAAATGCAAGATTGATCAAGGGGGTTTACATGTAAATCAGTAATATAAGTTTTCCAATCCAAGCTAGCAATGTAATGTAAAAGCAAGCGATATTTTACTACCATGCCCACTTGTAAAACAAATAAAATCATATTTTTGAATATGACTTGTTACATGCCTTTCCAGTATATACTTCACTCTTTAGCAAATATATCGATACATATTCGTTGTTTGTAGCAGCCTTAATCCAAAAATGTTGCGACTGATTGTACTTTTCGCTTCTTAATCCTGTAATATTTTCTTAAACATAATGTAGTTTGTTGGGAAAAATTTTTGATACCTACTATTCCAGGTCTCACTTTTGGTAGACACAACATAATGCCAAAATACAAATATCATATCAATTGAGTATGAAAGCAACTTACAACTGGGAGCATAAGGTTCTACCCTTATGTGTATGAATACTAAGCAATTGGTAAAACAAATTAAGCATTTGCACTATTTCACATGCAATCTAGGAATTTATTTAGATACCACTAACCGAGACTAGCATAACAAGCGCCACAAAAAGCAATATCTTTGCAATTCAGATAAAGAGCGATTATAGAAGGGCAAGTGCATGAGTGCATTTTCAGAGAGTGAAAATAAATGTGTTTGTAAGGGTAGATTTGTTAAGAGTTGACGCAACTATAGTATATAGTGTAGCATATAACCATATACAGTTATTGTTAAATGCATACACTTCTACGATTCCATTCTTTATACCTTTAATTTTATTCATAAGTTTTTGTTGGTTTTTGCTATGTACTTTCAGATCCAAATATTCGGTTATAATTCGCAACTTTATGCAAATTTCTCGGACGCTTTGAACCGAGCGCAAGGCATTGTTGGTGTCTCGATTTTGCTACAGGTAAGTTACATATTAACCAAAAAGTTTTCGATTAGTATATCTACAACAAATAAGTAAAATTATTATAGGATTTCAAGTCCTTAAATGCGTGTTTTGAACTAAACTAAGTGACAAATGATTTAAATGTTTGATATGTAATGTTATCTTTTTTTAAGGATAACATACAACTAATTTATAGATCTAGCCAATTTACTTCAACAGTATTTGTAATGTAACACTTGAAAGGTAATAATACCCTTAAGTTCGTCACACTGTTTGTAACGCCCAGAAGAAAAATTGAGAAGCCCTCATAAATAGATAAATAAATGAGTGAGTCGATTTAGGAATGTCCGTCTGTCTGTACGATACGCGAACTTGTCCCTCAGTTTTTGAGATATTGATATCGTAAAGTCTTTCTTTTTATGATGCGTGTGCAGTGGTGAACTCCAGTTACCACTAAGTTAGGTGAACCTTAATTCAAAATTTACTTCGCGAAATGTACTTAGCTCCAGTAACACTTTAACCAAAACTGTAAATGGAAGCTCTAAGTATGAGTAAGTCTATTTTATCTCTAACGACTCAGAATTTAAATATCATATCTTTTGAAAATCATTTTTTCGGCTCGCAAAGCTCAGGAACAATAATACCGATTTTTTTTTAATATTGTTTGCGAATTTTCAATGGCTAACTCATAGGCTTTTGATAAACTCCTTCCATTGTTAAATTAATTTTCGGATAACATGACACAAGTTGGCAACTATTTATATTTATGATTATTTATCCAACAAACGCATTTATACTTACGCTTAAGTAACTATACATTATTTCCAAATAAATCTTTCAGCTCGGTGATCTGTCCAATGCGGAATTGCGTATGCTTACAGATCAACTGGAACGCATACGTTTTGGTGGCGATGAGGCATTCGTCAAACGCCTGTCCATACGAGGTCTGCTACCGGAAACGGATCAATATATGACCTATGATGGCTCGACAACAGCACCCGCCTGTCATGAAACTGTGACGTGGGTTGTCCTAAACAAACCCATTTACATAACCAAACAACAGGTAAGCATAGCATGAAATCTTGGGTATTTACTAAATTTTCAAACTTATACTGGTGGTAACTACCACAATTGAAATCACGTCGTACGCTTGTATTCACCCATGAGATTGGCCTACGCCAAATTGCCTTTAAGGCACATTTTCAATATATTAATTATACTAAAAGCGAGTTTTGTCATTCTTAAATTCGTTTATTCTTTTGTTGGTTTGTGCTTCTCATTCGAGTGCTTCTCATGAAATTATATGTTTTATATGCTGTCAAGAGCATTGCAAAACGAATGTCAACAGAAATACATGAAAAATACTTAAACTTAAGATGTGCCTTAATACCATGTAGCCACAAATGATTTAAGCAATCGCATTGGAACCCTCGCGAGACAGAGGACGGTGGTTCGTATGAGTAACATTTGTACACGTGAGCAATGACAAAAGCAGTGAGTACAATAACCGCTACGACAGTCACGACACACTGCGTTTCTAACTAACTAATGATGATGATTAAATGGAAAAAACTGTGAACTCGATATTCGATATAAATTTAATTTTCACTTAAATTTTACTGAGTTTAAAATTTGTAAAAGTTTATTAAACATTTTTTTAGTCTGTTAAGACGTTAGAAGTTTTATTTTTATTTCGGAACTTAAAGCTTTTATTAATTTTACAGAAATATTTGCAGTCAATTACTTTGAAATTTTTATTTTGGTTTTGAGTTTTATCGCCTCCCGAATACTGTGCCAAAACGACATCACCTACGAAAGCTGATGTTGACACCACTGACAGTGTGACATTGATGAGCCGCTTGACACATTTTGTCTTACCACCTTTCTACAGCTCTTTATTATTCAAGCACAGGCATTGTTGGCGCTTCGAAGAAGTATGTTTCCGGCTGAGTGTTTGTGTATGCTCAAGGCAAGTTGTACACTTATGTATGGATACATGCTTACAAATACGTGTATTTTATACAAACATATTGTACGTAACACGCAGCATGCTTCGCAGCAGTCGGTCTAGGTTGCTGGTTACTTTGCGTTGAGCCCATGTATGGTATGCTGCCCTCAGCGTGTGTCAGGCTCTTACAATATTTTCCCTTTCTTACATTTTTCACTTGTTGTGACTATCGGTTGTATACTTATCACGTTGGTGGCAAGTACATACATGCGTGTTGGTGCACTTGTTGCTGTCTCCTTATGTTCGCTCGAGCACATAAGTAGGCTTCTTTACGTGTTTCATTCATTCCCCATTCACTGTTATCTTCTTTTCTTACTTTTTGGCATGAGTAACTTTTGTTGTTTTTGTTTTTTTGCTTAGTTCCTTGAGAAAGGGAGTTTGTTGCTGAGACAATTTTAAACAAATTCATCTTGCCATTTAATTAATTATTTACAGCTTTTTTCACGGTCGTTACAATATGACTTCTTAATATTTTAAATGTTGACACGCAAACTTCAAATACACAAAAATTCATTCATTTAACTGCTTGTAAAATGAAGCTCTTCCGGAAGAGAAGCACATACATGCATGAAAACGTATTTCTTGAAATATGTTTGTAAATTAGGTATAACTTCTAAAGTAAAAAAGATTAAATTAAGTACAAAATTTAAACAATTTATTAAATACAGCCTTATGATAAGAAGGCTTGTATATTTCTTAGCTCATGATCAGTGCTTTATCACGGCAGCTAAATAATATGTTAACAAAATTTCACATAAATTGCAAAATATGATTTGGTACTACATAAACTCTATTAAGCATTAATTACTTTCACGAAGTCCCAAAAAAACACGAAAATATATCATTCTTTATTTACTGTTTACTTGACTTTAAAAACGAAACTGTACATAATACTATATTTGAATTCTTTTTTTTAAATATAATATATAAGTATATATTTTGTAGTTAGCTTTAAAAATAACGTAATATTATATAATATTAAATATTTATTAAATGTAATCAAGCTAGAAGAGCTACATTTATACTTCCATAACAGTTTGTATATCATTTAGTGTTTTAGAAACAACTTTCTTATCAGTAAAATGTAGCAATACATATATATCTAAAGATATGAATATATGTACATATGTAAAAAAGAAAACACAAAAACAATCTACTGGGCTACAACCGACGGCAACGACCATGACTGAGAATCCCTGGCTGTGGCTATATCGATTACCTGTACAATTATCGATTCAACACGAAGGTGGAAAAAATGAAGCAAAATAGTAGCCAGTCGAAGGAAGGAAGGTGAAATTGTACAGAGGGTTAAGTTCGAACGAAACCGAATATTGAGCATAAGACTTTTATACACTGAATAAGCTACATTAAGTTTGCAACATCCAGCAGGAAACGTCGGATACCTTATAAAATATGTATACAGATGATCGGTGAGCTGAGTCGATTTAGCCATGTACGTCTGTTTATATGGGAACAACAGTTTTTGACATACTGACCTGTAATTTTGCACACGTGCTTTCTTCCCGAATCAGCTTGTCATTTGTCGGAACCACACACATCTCTCATCAAACTGAACAATCGGAATAAAGTTGTGGCATGGAATAGTTTTTGATTTAACGATATATTTTCATGCAATTTGTTATACATTGTTATCTAAAACAACGATATAATCTCGGAAAAAATTTTCCAGATCGGACCACTATAGCATGTAGCTACCATACAAACTGATCGATCAAAATCAAGTTCGTTTTGGGAAAACTTGAACCTGCGAAGTATACATTTCTAGGAAATGGAAGGGTGAATTTATAGATCATTTGATTGTCCTTCTGTAAATAACAGCGATACTTTGTTTAAGGACATGAATGCTTTATATAAGTAACTGCAATTATTTCGATGTAATATCGGAGCAGGCATTGTTAGGAATTAAATTTGTTTTGCTACTTGATAGGAAACAAGAGACATCGTGTTTTCTTTTGTGTGGTGTTTTGTAAGAATGTTGCTAAGTCACTGGTATAGGAAAATAAGGCCCAAGGCCCAAATATTTTTGCTTTCAGTTTTATTTATAAATATGAATAATAATGACCAACTATACGGTGAACAGAACAATAATACTCTGAGGCAACACGTATACCCGGTCATAAAAAAGTAGCAAAACACCGTATGTGAATCTGAATAGACGAACGACGTTTATTTACTTATTTATTTATTTATGTGCAATATTGTTGTCGTTGTATACATATATAATATATAAGTTGCATGTTTTTGCAAGCATTCACTCGCTCCACTCCCTTTGTTATAACTCGTTGCTTCTCACTGTCGCTTTATTTTTTGAGTGGCTTTCACATCGAAGTCACAGAGATTTTCGCTTTTCCCCGAAGTTCGACCAATGCAGTAATTGACATTAATGACTTGCCTGCCAGCAAAGTCGAACGTTTTTACTCTGTCCGCTTTTCTTACTCCTTCTTTATTTCTTTTTAAATGTTTTTCATCCTTGGCGCTGTGCTGCATGCAGGATTTATGAATAAATATATGTAGCAAATTGCCGGTGTCATTTCCGTTAGTCGGCATTACTTGCAACCTGTTCCGCTTCCGGTGTGACAGACGCGAGTACAGTATTCAGGTAAAAACATATATACATACAAGTATATGGAAGATAAACATCTAGGATGCGCATTGTGTGCATTGGAATTTTTTTGTTTTTTTATTACTACGATAAAAGCATAAATTTAATTGGGGGCTTATTTAGTTATGCTAACAACCTAACATACTTGTTTAGTTCTTTGGTAAAATAGCTATTAAAAATCGAATGCTAAAAATGAAAAAAAAAAATCGAGCTTTTAATCCATTGAGAGGTGTTATATATTTTCAATATTTGTTTGAAGGTTTGCTTGTATAATAATAATTTATTAATTTATACAGCTTGTGGTTTCATTGCTACTTCTCACTTTTGCATTCCAACACATGAAAGCACATGATTTAACTGCAATTTCCGTTGCTCGTGAGCGGCATACGTTCACTATTAATGTCATTGTCATTTTTCATAATTTTTTTCTCTCTCACCTTCTTCCAAGCCATCAGCACTTTAAATTTGTCCATTACAGATATTTGCAAATACATTACACACTTTTACCGTGCTACCTTGCCGTTTACTTATTTTACACATTTATGCTTCCATTCTTTGTTTTACTAGTAATTTCCCGTTAGCAATGGGCTCTGTGCCACTGCGGCGCATTTTAATTTTCTGCATTAAATATATACCGCACAGCAGTGCATTGCAACGAAGAACGCTCTACGTTCACAACAGATAATATTTCCGCATTTGCAGTGGCACACGCACACACATCCACTGGCAGCATCACAGCATTCACCCACACACACACAAACATATGCATATAGGCATGCTTTATTATCCTTTCGCGTGCAGCAGATACGTGGCATGCGCTTGCGTACCTTAACTTCCGTCTACATTTTGTCTGCTTTGCATATGTGTGAGTAAGTGTGCACAACGATTTACACCGGCATATGAGCATGCATACGGCGACACACATACATAAATAGATTAGTGTGCTTTAATATAGTTTGTGTGAGTGTATGTGTATGCGCGCCTGTGTCTTTTACTCGTGTCATTTCGCACGCCGCTGTGTTGTTGGTATCCCGACGCGACACATAATCAAGTCTCAGGGGCACCATTGAAACGCAGTAGACCACAACCTGCCTCGTTTGGCTTTCTGCGGCTCTCTTCCTCTTTATTCTTTGCTTTATCGTGTCTTTCTTTCTTTATTTTTCACGTTTTTCGGTATCCACCACACGCTGCCATTCGCTTAATTAACATTTGCGTTACAGTTTTGTAGTTCATTTATTTAAGGTTCACTACAGCGGCAAAAACACCTGCGTGGCCCTACTTACGTACATACCTGGGTATATGCAAACGAGTATATGAACACGTATGCACATATTTGTTCAAGCACTTGCTGGAGCCCTTGTGCGCGTCGATGTGCATAATAACGCGCAGGGCGTATGTGTTATCATGTCAGTGGTAGCTAAAAAGGCAGTTAAAAGTTTTTAAAGCTGTAAGTCAATATGCCACTCATTAAAGCGCTGTTAAAGCCTTTCTTCCATTACTGGACTTAAATCCACAATGTAAGCAATTTAACTTACACGACGACAACATTAAATTTAATAAATCTGTGTTGTTACTTTGCTATTAAGAAGAAGTTGTTGACACTAATATTGCCCTTAAAGCTTGTATATTTCTTACTCCAGGTTTTCTGTAGATTAAGACCTAGTCACAACTCTTCAATCACCAAATTACCTATGCCATATAGACTAATCGAGGCAAAGAGAGTGTCAGCACATTTAAATTGAATCTTAATTTATCTATTTGTAGCCTACCTACAACCTATATTGAAATATATTGTATACATACGCTCCAAGAGTATATAATTTAGAAGACTACTTATTGAAAAATCGTATTCTAGTCTTGTTGTTTTTTAAAGTTTGAAAGAAGTTTCGCATATCCAAATATTCACGGACGATATTATTACATTTTTTAATGCTTTAGGCATATTCAGATAAAACTTTCCTCGCTTAACGTGACTCAAACAACGCAACGAAGAAACCAAAGGGTATGCTACAATGAACGCTTTGCTTTCAGTGTTTCTCTATAATAAAAATGGCGACTGTTGCATGGCAAAGCGTAAAAAACTTACAGTTTCTCAACATTTTGCTTGGCTTCGCGTCGAAAAATGTTTATGTGAACTACCTATACAAATGCGTTCAACAAACTTTTCTGTCAAAACAAATGTCTGAAGCAAAATGAAGCAAAAGTTCTATGTGAATTGGCCATAAAAGTCTCTTCTGGATGCTCACTAGATTTATCGTCTTCGGTGATCAATTTAACAAACGATTTGCAAATTTAATAATTAACGCAGTTTTTTGCACCAGCAACGCAGCATTTTTTCCCCATTAATACACGAAATTCCTATTTACTCCTTTTAATTTTCGAAATCCGAAAATTTTTTTTAAATATTATACCACATTACCAAATACAAATAGTCAGATGACAAGTGTCGTTTGAGGGTTAGCTCTAACCACAAAACTTATTTTTTTTTTCACAAGACTTAGTCTTATAGAAACGATTCGAACTTTACAGCTTTAGAAGCTCACAACAACTATTTTGTCCCGTTTTTCGTTATAATCCCAAAATAAATAAAAAAAGTTTTCCGTGCAGGAATTTGATTTTGATCGGTTAGTTTTGTGGCAGCTATATGCTATAGGAGTGTGATCGGAATAATTTGATTGAAGATTGTATCGTTGCCTGCGATAATAAGCTGTGCCAAATTTAGTGAAGATATCTTGTTAAATAAAAAATATTTTCATACAAGAACTTCATTTTTAAAGTTCAGATAGTAAGGCAGCTATAAGCTATAGTACGCCGATCTGAAGGATTTGTTCGGAGTTTGTAACGTTTTCTTGCATAATAAGCACTGCCAAAGTTTTTGAAGATACCTTGTCAAATGTTTTCATATAAGAAGAGTTTATACTAGTGGTCCAATATCGACGGTGCGAATTTTCAAATCCACATCTCAGACAGACGGACCATGGCTAAATCGAATCAGTTTATCATGTTGCTCGTTAATAGAAACATTTTGTAGAGTCTCCGACGTTTCTTCTGGGTGTTATAAACTTCGTGCCAAACTTAGTCCCTGTTCAGGATAGAAAAATTTGATTGAGCGACAAAGGACAGTTACCAATGCAATGTCCCTTAGGTACTCCAGGGAGTACTCAGATTTTATGCATAAGTCAAATATGTGCTTAGGCCAGGAATATCGCATAGTTAATTTGTTTACGTATTTTATAAGTGACTAATTTTGTAGAATCATGGGATGCCTGTAAAGTAATTTTTCATACCCGTGTGTAGTATCCATCACTTTTGCAGGGACGTATCAAAGTTAGTAACTACCCTGCTATTAATTTTAGGTTATCGTTTATTATAAAAGATGGCAATGAGTATGTTTGTCCGTCTTTGCACATTGACAGCTTAACGTTATTTCATCAACAAATGTCTGGCGTACAAGTTACCCGGAGTGGAGTGCAAAAACTTCAACACCAATTTGAAACTTTAGCGGTAAAGAATGTACATGTATGGCAAAAACGTTCAGCATATGGCAACTGAGTATGCTAACACGATATATTGGGCTGATAATTAATGTCTGGCAATTATAAACTTATTAAAACTTGCCGTGGATTGCGCTGCAGCAGTCTAGCAAGTCGCTAATCCAAAACTAAAGGATGTAAGTCTTTTACTAATAAATATTGACATTGAAAATGTAAATGAAAAAGTTGACGTAAATCATAACATGTTTTAAGTGGGCTAATGTTAAGTACTGCAACATTCATACACTTCTTCTTATTGTATTTATTCTACCATTTTGTAACTTTGAAATCATTAAGACTACAAAATTAAGTTTTATTATACCAAAGTTGATCCGCTTAACATTTGTATTGGCAAGAGTGACAAACAGACTAACTTCTTATTATCCTCATTAAAAATTTCTTTTTCCAGTTGCACGCCCTACGACGCCTAATGCAAGGTAGCCCCGATCACCCCAAAGCACCGCTAGGCAATAATTATAGACCACCTCAGCCGCTACTGCACCGGCCTATTCGAACAAACATCGATTTCAAAACATCAAAAGTGAATGGCAAAGCTGCGTGTCCAACTATGTATCGCGAAGTGTATTATAAAGGTAAGCACATTAAGTTTGAATAATATGCATAAATCGGATAATCTTTTTTCGATTTAAGTTATTCTCTACGTTATATTAATTTAAAGATCATATTACCTCTTTGAATATATTGTATATATCTGCGTAAGGGTATAGTGAACACCTCTGAACAACATAATATCACGTTTTGGATTCGTTTTTCTGCTGTAAGTAAAAAACTTCTTCGACCCGCCAAGGTTACATATAAGCCATTCTTTCAAAAACTCTTTACACTGTTTCGGAAATAAAGCAAATACCTCGATCGGCCTGCTTCGGGCAACTTAAATATGATTTCTAGTCCTCTCCAGCAAAATAACTAAGAAATGTTCTAAAATTCGTATAAATCAAACGATATAGTTGTAGGTGTTAGACTCATATCTTATCTTTCTAATAATTTGGGAAATAAATAACTTACAGCTTTACGCGATCCAAACACAGCAAAAGAAATTGTTGAGATTAAGCGCATCAGCGCCCTCACCTTTAACTTAACCATGTCTAAATGTCTAAAACCATGTTCCCACGAAAAATTTTAAGTAATTAGATTACATATATTCTTTATCTATCGATTTACAAATCTAGACTTAAATGTTTATACTCTCCCAACATGTTGCTGTAGAGCTTAATAATTTTGTTCCCCTAGCAACATGTTGCTACATAGAATAATAGTTTTGTTCACCTAAAACTAACCAAAATAAATTTGGAGTTATATAGGTATATATATTATATATTCGTGCGGTTTTCTAAGAGAGGGCTCTACTAGTATTATTATATTCATTTCAAAGGTACTGTCATTTCGCGTTTTTCAGTAGATGTCATTTGTTTAGCGTGAACAACAATTTGTTTCATTCATTTGAAAATGTCGAAATTTGTACCAGATAAAGTATTTTTGCGGGGAGTTCTTCTTCATTACTTTAACATGAAGAAAAGTGCTATCGAAAGCCATCGTATTTTACTGGACGTTAATGATGATCATGCTTTAGCCGAACGAACGTGCCAAACGTGGGTTGCACGGTTTAAAAGTGGAAATTTCGACTTACACGACGGAGAACGACCCGGACAGCCAAAACAATTTCAAGACGAAGAATTGGATACATTGCTCGACACAGATGCATGCCAGACGCAAGAAGTACTAGCAAAAGTATTAGGAGTTGATCAAGCAACCGTTTCCAGACGATTAAAATCATTAGGATTCATCCAGAAGCTTGGAAATTGGGTGCCTTATGAATTACAGCCAAGAGACGTCGAACGACGATTCTGCATGTCGGAAATGTTGCTTCAACGACACCAAAAGAAGTAATTTTTGTATCGGATTGTCACTGGCGATGAAAAATGGATTCATTATAATAAGCCAAAGCGCAAGAGATCGTATGTGAAGCCCGGCTAACCATCGACATCCACGGCAAAGCCGAATATCAATGGTGCCAAGGTTATGCTATGTATTTGGTGGGACCACAAGGGTGTGCTCTATTATGAGCTATTGATATTGGGTCAGATGATCAATGGGGACCTCTACCGAAAACAATTGATTCGTTTGAAAAAGGCTATCGCGGAAAAACGACCAGAATATGCGACCAGACACGAATCAATAATTTTTCATCATGACAACTATTTGGAAAAATGTGAGTGGGAAGTTCTTCAAGCCGGAGAAGTTCTTTTGGGATGAAATCCACAAACTGCCAGAAAGATGGGCAAACATCGTAGCTTCCGATGGGCAATACTTTGAACATTAAATGTATAACAAGTTTTTCATAATAAAGTCGTAATTTTCGAAAAAAACCGCACGAATTAATGCATACAATATAAATGATCAGGATGTCAAGACTAGTTTGATTCACAGTGACTGTCTGTCCGTCTAAGTAAAAATATCTTAATGAAACTTGCCACATATCTTCCTTGGCACCCAAGGGATGTTGGTCATAAATACGAGCGTAATCGCACTACTGCCACTCTCCAAAACGCCATTCAACAAAAACCTATAAAGTGCCATAACTAAGCTCTTAATTAAGATACAAAACTGTTATTTAATACAGAGAATCGCAGTAGCGAAGGACACCATTGGATTAAATATTTTTTAAAAGTATCCTCCCCTTAATGGTTAAATGTACACTAAACCAATGTGCTAAACCACTAAAGCTACCTAAGCTAAATTTCCGGAGAGGAAGTCGTTTTATCATTTCTTCATACACTGTAAAAATGGGTAAAATCAGATAATAACCACGCTCACTTACTATTTTATTGAAAACTACTAAAAGTGCGGTAACTAACTGAATAAATACGCCACAAGCATCACATTTCACCACCAAGATGTTAGAGAAGGGCGTTGTAGGAGCACGTGTAAAAATTGGACATTGGGCGTGACACCGCCTATTTTTATGTAAATTACTATACCTCAGGAAGTAATTGGCCAAATTCAACCAAACGTCGTATGTGAGGTTATTCAAACATTTCTATTATGTTGTCACTGTAATAATGGGATAGAAATCGGATTACAACCACGCCTACTTCCCTTATAACAAACTTTTAATTCCATCTCCAAACATCAATAAAATTATCAGGATTAAACTTTGCCCAAATAATATGCCCTCAAGGTATTTCATCTTACAGCCAAATATTGTCGAGCTATAACATTTGAAGGACCCAGGCACCAAATACATATGTTTATCCTTTTTCTCTAGATTTTTTTGCACACTATATTTACGAAGTTTCACCCATTATTTAACAATAATTAGGAGACAAATTTGAATGAACTTAGTATTTGTTTTTAGTAAGTAATTTTAGAGTAATGTTTAATAGTAGTAATTGTAAAACTAAGAATTAACCGTTACATTATAAGGTAAGAAGCTGATTTTAACTAAAGCAAGCATTAGAAAAACTCCACAGGGTGTAACCAATTTTAATAATTTTTGAAGAAATGGTGACTCAGTCCAACTTTAGCCCACTTTAACTAGGTTTTTCAACTTCCACCCAGTAACCGCTAATAAAAATGTTTGAAACAAATTGCTGAATGAGCAGCTCGTGAACTTTGCTGTGTCTAAAAATTACTTATACATGTTTATCTTTAGTAAGTAATGCGATAATATTATCAAAATTACACATTTATGGCTCGTGCTCTCAAATACTTTGATTTTATTGCTGTTATTTGTAAATCTATTGCTATAATTGAATAATTTTTTTACAAAAGTTTAACAATAAAACCCATAATCGTTTTAGGTTTGATTTTAATATATTTCATACATACATACATATGTTTATATAAATAAACACTTGTCCTTCACTTCATTTCCATTTCTGGCAGCTACAAGTTGGAGACAGCATTGAGGCGTATCTCGGCAATAAATAACAACATTACCAACAGCAATCAAAGCCAATCGCAATTGCAACTTCAACTTACATAGTATATAAATATAAGCATATATTTGCACACACTTATACATACATATGTACGTAAGTACAAGTAAATCGGCGTGCAACAGGAGCTTCCATAAATTTAAATATATAAATAAATATATAATATATTTATATTAGTATTGTAATTGTAATGAATTTATTGAATTACACATGCATAGCTGACTTACAGTGAAATACATATAAACTATACAGATGTAGCAGCATATAAAAATTACGTAAATATTATAGACGCATATGTAGTTGTATAATAGAAAATAAAGTAGACTAACAATATTTATTACAGTAAGTAGCTCTGCATCTAAAATAAGTGAGCAGAATTTGTGTGAAGAAAAATGGGCAAAAAGTAGCAAATGGTCTGCAGAGGCACAAATAGATATATATATGTACATACGTATATATAATCTTGTAAATATTCAACAGCTATAAACAATATTTTTGTAACCAGGCCCACTGATAATACCAATAAGTAGTTAGTAAAAGCTAAATAGTAATATATATATAATATATAATATTAATTTATTTACATAAAATATATTCGCAAGTATACCGAAAACTATAAACATAAATGTATAACACAAGCTCCTTACTGCTTTCAGTCATCTACCTTCTGCAATTAAAATTTCATATTCTATTAGTCAGTGTTCCTTGGAGAGTTTAAAAAAAATACTTTATGTAACTTTTCAGTATTCTTGGCATGGGCATTTACATAAATGCTATTAGTGTACATATGTCTGCGCGTATGATGCAATGCGTGAACTGATCATAAGTTCGTATTTATTTCAATGCGCCCAGAAAAAATACCAACTTATGTTACTGGCTATACTTGTACTTGAAAGTCATTATATAATCCCTTTTCCCTCCGGAATCTTTGAATCATTCATAACGAGCTTTCATATAGGGAAAATAAATTTTTTTTAAAATTTTTGATATTAAAATAAATCGCATTCTTGTCCAGTTATTTTTTTATAAGGTACAAAAATGTAGTTTTGATAAAAAGCAGTGGATATTCCCTATTACTATTTCAGAATATAACAGATAAATTACTCACATCATGTAAATTACAGATCGCCACCTTGCTTCGAAACTACAATTTCAAAGAAAATGCAAAACTATCGACAATAGTACACGCTATATAAGTATATTGGACTCTCTTAAAACAGTAAAATATTCCTGGCAAAAGTTTCTGGACAAACTGTACGGATATTAGTATTCTGAGCCTTCATACTCTTTGGTCAGCCAGAATTTATGGAAAAATGCTTGATTGAACTAATTCTCACGTTGTATGTGCCAGATACTTGTAAATGAACACATTATAACTGTTTTAATGAAATCAGTGCACGTTTTTTTACTGAGTGAACATTTGTATATTGAGTTTGCCATGAAGTTTTTAAGACCCTGGAGCAAACGTCGGAGACACTATAAAGTATATATATTTATATATATGTAAATAAATTATCAGCATGACAAGCTGAGTCGATTCAGCCATGCCCGTCTATATACACGCGAAATAATCCCCAACTAATCAATCAGAATCAAAAACTTGTATGGAAAATTCTTTTTATGATTATTTTTGATTACCCAAAGCTGAGCTATTAGCTCCGAACAAATTGTTCAAATTGAACCACTATAGTATATAGCTCTCATTAAAACTGACCGATCAAACTCAAAATAAAATAACTTTGTAGTCACACAACGTGGGTAAAAACACTATCAAAACGTTTTCCGTTGGATGCAATCCGTTGGTCGGTTACGTTGTCGGAATGACTAATACAAAAGTATTTGCTATAAAAAAATCCAGTTGTAAGGGGTATAAGAATTTTCAGAATTACTTATACAAAAATATTTGCTACAAAAGAATCCACTTGTGAAGGGTATTAGAGATTCGGTGCAGCCGAAGTCAACGTTTTTTGTTTCTGTTTGACAAACAATTATAAATAAAGTAAAGGTTAGTATGAAGATTATTTACGTCAAAAAAAAAAAAAAATAGCTGTCAAACGCACCCTAAACAGACAATAAGATGAATCTTTTTTAATTTACATTTTTGTGATTATTGGACTATACTCTGGTATGACGAATCGAAGATGGCTATTCTTTTAGGCAATCATACTAATCGAAAAGTTTCATTATATTGGTTTCAAAGGTGAATATTTTAATCGTATAACTTCATACAACTAAATTATGTCTTCAATTCAATTCAAGAACACTACTTTCTTAAACGTATATAGATATGATAAATCTGTATCTATGCCTATGCAATATATGTATTCCAAAAATTTCAAACATATTAAATTTAATCATTTTAAAGCTCATCAATTTTATAGCAAATACATTTTTCTACTGAAATTCGATTATTGATATGTTCGCTTCTTGTTTTGGTTTAGTTTAAACTCAATTACGCACATTATATTATATTTACTAAAAACTTGTAAAACTTTGAATGAAAAACGTAAATGCATATCAAATAAGAATTTAGCCGAAACAAAAAAAGTATAGACACAAAACAATTTAATTGCAACACTATTTAACACTGCTGACATAAACGGAATTTGTTACAATATATCCACATTACAATTTAATAAACAAAATCTGCTCCAAAATATTTGCTATGAAGTTGGTATAAATTACATTAAATAATTAAGCGCCGTAGTTGCAACATAATTCTGACACATTTAACATGATTTTTTCACTAGTTTACCAATTTTTTTAACATCATTTGGCTGTACATTTTTGTTTATAATTATGTGATTTGTTATTGTTTGCACAATTAAGCGCATTTGAGTGTTTATTATGAGTGAATAATTGTTCAAAAAATATGTTCAGCAATAAACATGAATTAAAATGATAACCGCACACTGAGCGAGCGAAACCACAACACGATAGCGTGTTTTATTTACTATTATTATTTATTTAAATTTTTTACAGTTTTTATAATAAACCAACCAATTTAAAAGAGCAAGCTGGCATATTACAACAAGTAAATAAATGACTTAATTATGTTCTAACACTTGTTTATGAAAGTGGAGCGCAAATAGTGAATAAAAAGGTTTATTTAAATCTTTTTTGTGGCTCACTTCTTTCATACTCAGAGCCAATTATGTGCAGATTTAAGTGAACAGCTTCAGCTGAAATTATTAAATAATCTAAATTTAAGTGAGGGATGATATAAACTGCACTTAGTATATGATAATTGATTGAAATACATCGTTTTCAAACATTACTTAGCAAATATTATGTTTTTCTTATCGCTTACACATATACAAATGCGCTTAAAATTAATTGCCGAATAACTTTTCTCGCCCAAATCTTTGAAATATTCATAATAAAGCTACATATAGGAATATTACTTTAATTATAATCACAGCTGTTTTTTAGCTTTTCAATTTTAGAAGCAAATTTTAAAAATTTATTTTTTATTTGTAGTTTAATTTCGGAAAATTTTCCTTTATATCCTGAACAGAAGAAAACGTTGGAGACCCTATTAAATATAAAAATAATTAAACAGCGTGAAGAACTGAGTCGATTTAGACATCTCCGTCTATCTGTCCGTGTATATATACACGAACTGCTCCCTCAGTTTTTGAGATATATATCTGAATTTTTGCACACGTCACACGTTTCTCCCCAAAAAGCTGCTCATTTGTTGGAACCTCCAATATCGGGCCACTATACCATATAGCTACCATACAAACTGACCGATCAAACTCAAGTTCTCATCGCTACAATCTCCGAACTATTTCTTCAGATTTTACCACACTTGCATATAGCTGCCTTTCTAACTGACCGATCAAAATCAAGATACAAATTTTTTATACCCTTTTATACTATACAAAATGCAGCTGCGAAGTGTAGTATAGCTCCTGTGCAGCCGAATTTAACTTTTTTATAGTTTATTTATGACTTATATCGTTCGTAAAAATCTATCCCATAATCAGAAACAAAATCAATTTTAGCTTATAGTATTATTACTACCCCATACGCATTTAACACATTTTTTATCAACCTTCTTAAGAACTTTGCGCACTCTAAACTGATCCTCCAGAAGTTGATTCATCAGCAGTTCTATTAAAAGTAACCATTCCTTCTTCATACACAAAATTTTCATGCAGGAAAGTAAAGCACTTGATGTGCATAAATTACAATTAAGTATTGTTTGAAAGGTTTCGCCGTTACTTTGCTTTAAGTAATGGAATAACTAATGCAATAATAACTTTTGAGAATGATGCCATATTTTGCCTGAACTTATTGCTATAATCGATGTACGTTGCACATAATTTGTGGTTGACTGATGACAGGGTATGCAATCAATTATTGTAACACCTAGCCGCGTAAACATTTACCATATCTGTGTACATTACATTGCACAAGTGATGTATGTAAGTATGTATACGGTAAATATAATTAATGCTGTGAACAACGACTCTTGCATACAATCGCAATTAACTTGCAACTTTGACATACACAGGTTAATGCGGAGGTTAATTTGCGAAATCGCAAATATACTCATACATATACCATATATACATTTGTTCATGTTGCAACGCAAAATTGGCAACATTGACAGCGTGTGAATGGCGCTATGATGTTTAAATCCAAAATTGAACACAATAGTACATGCATCGCGTATATATACACATAGTACAACAAAAACAACAATGACCACAGAGCTAAGAATGAAAACAATAACATGCCACATATGTGCGTATATGTTGCAGCGCTATAATGTTCGTAACAGTTGTGGGCATGCCACACAACAAACCTAATAAATATTCAATTTGTTAGCCATGCCGTAGGCCACATTACCTTCACCTTGGTAATTCCGAAGCTTATACCTTTTCCCGACACCACTTAGCATGCTGCTTCCTCTTCCGTTACGTTGTGGCAGTATAAAGCGCTTAAATGCTCGTACAACCGTATTGACCACGTTGGTTAGGCGTCGCATTAACGCTTGTAAACGCAAATGTAAACTGTTGGCTTATCGTACACTAGGCGTAGCATATTTAATCGCATGTGTTCCAGATATTTTGTTGTGTGTAGGCGAGAATTGTTTTAAAATCACTTAAACTAACGTATCACTAATATGACATGTAACCGAGGATATTCAATGTACATATATGGGCGTGTAATATCTTATTGTACTGTACATGCAACAACTGAGCACACTTTTGAACAACTTATATTATTATCGACTGGTTGAATAAATGAGCTCTTGATTAATGCTTAGAAATCCTAGTATTATAATTCACCCTCTATTTTCACATATCATTACGAATACCTCAATCATAGTGGGAATAAGTTGTAAATATTAGTTAATAGTTAATATATTTTCGAATTATCTTACTTATTTAATGAATTTTCCAGAGTAAAATCGAACGATCGAGACAATTTACTCGATTTACATTCAACTAAAAATGAATTGTGTTATCTTAAATTAATTTTTTAATGATAGACTGAGTATTTTTATTAAATAAAAAATTACTGGCACATATATAGAAAATAATAAATACCAGTATTCCGTACTGGTTCGAAATTTCTGCTTAATATACAAATCAAGTTCTTTTTTAATATGATATACCTTCGGGTGGCATTCTTGAACCTCTCTCTCATTATACCTCTGTCACAAAAAGTCGTAATCATAATTTATTTCTAAGCTTTGAAAGCATATAGGAACACATAGTTAGCAATAATAGCCGCCATCGATTCACCACTCCTATGCTCGCGCTGCTCTCTTGTCGAAAATTCGACATGTGAATTTAACGACAAATTTCAAGCGCAGTTAGTTTTTTTTTTTTTACTGATTTTAAAAAATAAATAAGACCTCGTATCAAAATATAATTGCTTCCAAACGAATAATCCGAATACAATTCTTTTGCAGTAGGAATATTTCTGTTAAAGACAAGCTCAAATCAAAATATAATTAGACCTTGTATGTCTAAATGATTCCTTAACTCGTCATATGTTACTTCTCTATAGCACGACAGGTTTGGTTTACTCAAATTCTTCCAAAACTATATATAAAAAAAAAAAACATGTATGTATACATTTAACGATATTTTAGAAAAAAATTGCAAAACATATTAAAACCGTTTAAAGTACATTGTAAATATTCATCTATGTATAACAATCAAAAATTAAAAAAAAAAATAATATTACTATAGAGTCTATATATAGTATAAATTATACGCATATATAGGGTGATCCATTTCGAAGTTTCCTACGTTTTAAAAAAAAAAAAACAAAGAAATTTTCAATTTAATGGGGAACGTTTATTATCATTCGAATGAACGTTCTTTGGCATTTATTTTTTAAAGATTATCTCTTTCAAATATTGGCCACGTCTCAGATATTCCATCCATTGAGTCCAATTTTCGATGACTCGTTCGAGTATTTCGACTGGTAACTGGCGAATATTATGCGTGATGTTTCACTACAAGGTCTGAATCGAAGCGGAATTGTCCGCATATACTTAAGACTTTAAATATATCCCCACAGGAAAAAGTCTAACGATGTGATATCGCACGATTTTGGTGACGACTCGACCGGCCCGAAACGTGAAATCATCTGCTCACCGAAGTGTTCTCTCAATAAATCCATTGACTGATGGGAGCGTCGCTTGGGAAGGCTTGGGCGGCTTCAGTTCTTGCATAAGCTGTATTTTGTTGGCTTTCAATTTAAATATCTCGACGTAAAATGCGCCAAGTCGTTCCATACGTCAGTCCGAGTTGCTGCGAACGGCGCCGAATCGACTCTCCACGGTCTTCGTGGACACTCTCAACTACGACCGTTATATTTTCTGCACTGCGTGCTGGGCGTGGTCCATTCGGTCAAATATTATTCAATAATGAATGCTGTTCAGTAGGCCGATTTTGTTGCCCATAAGTTGAGCGAAGTTCACGAAACACATTCTTTAAAGAATGTGAATTTTCAAAATAAAGTTGAACGATTTGTTAACGCTGTGCAAGCGTCAAGGATGAAATGATGCGAAACTCTTTGATTCGAGAGAGAGCTGTCAAAACTCACATTTTTTATAACATTTTTCAATCATACCACTGTCGAAACTTTAACTTAAACTTTTGGGTGTTTTGTATTTCGTTATTATTTTTAGGTGCTCGGTTCCCGAGTAGGCCTATATAACGCATATACATCCCTAAATAGGTGTATTCATATTATAAAATTGTTAAAACATCATATAACATAAAAAAGTCATACATAAAAAAAAAAATTATAAGAAGAAGTCATAATAAAATATAATGGTTTTATGACTAACGTTTTAAATTAAATTAGCAAAAAAACTTTAGTTGCACGTTCCTTGAAATTTCGTTGCGGGTTTATTTCTGGCATCCCGCCTATTTTGATAATATCTGTTCAAAATTCCCTAATCTTAATAATCAGGGAAAGACAATAACAGAAAAATCAGCGAAAATGAGAGTCTCGCATCATTTCATCCTTGCAAGCGTAAGTCTTTCCATGATGAAATGCCAAACAATGCTAATGACTCACCCGTGATCTGTCAAAAAGAGGGTATTGAAAAAAGTACCTCTACTTGGATTACCCGTTATAATACGCATGTATTTCAAAAATGTTGGTGTTGTTAATTGAAATAAGCGTATCGATTATAAAAATGGTGTGAGCCTGACATGTATATATATGAAACACTAATCGTATACAATAATTGTGAAAATAAAATACTTTATTAAGTGGAGAAGTTTATATAATACAAAAATTGTATATACGACTTGAAACTGCAACATCTTGCACTGGTGTATTTTACTTTAAAAACAAAATAATATTCTCTAAGAACTTATATGTAAACAGTTAGTGCAGATGGAATAATTTTTAGCAGAAATGAATTAGTGAAAAATATTATGAATATAGCGCAAAAAATTTAAAATAGAAATAATAAATTTCTAAAAATGCTTTGTAAAACGGTTTTCTGAACCTATTGGCAACGGCTAGTACTATAAAATAAATAGCAAGCAAAAGTATGACATAAAATAATAATATATAATATATATACATATATACAAATAGTTCCAAGACTTTATTATAATTTTGGTGAAATTTTCAGGTAAGTACGTTTCGTCAAAGCGAACTCATATTTCAGGACCAAACTCACTCAAATCAAAATTAACGGGCAACCACAATCAATGACAGTTTTCCAAAAAAAACTACAAATTCCTAACTAATTTAAAAAATTAATCAGTCCAGATTAAGTTTGTCATCATTAGAGCAACACCTATCAGCTGGGTTCCTCCGCCTCCTCCTATTCCATGCTACTACGAAGTTCAACCTGAGCAAGGAGTAATTTTTGTGCTGCGTTTGCGCTAAAAGGCTTCATCCCACCTCCCCCTTGGTTTGGAGTGATCTCAAGGCATGCATCAGAAAACTGTCCTCGCAACACCCTAACAATACCACAGTGCTACAACCCCTCTGCGGGTTCTACAGCTGCAACAGTCTCCACCATAACACCACTCTCTCACTCCCAGGGTCACCCCTAAATACCTGCGACAAACCCACAACGAGAATTTAACTGCAACATACTTCAGAGCAGTATCGAGGTTATAGCTTAATTCATAAGCATAAGGGAGGGAGTATCGAATTATGCGGTCCAAGAAACCAAATCGCCGCTTAGATTTTCTGAGTTGTGCAGGTTTCAACGCAATACGTAAGGATCACGAGCGAGATTCTGACGTAGGCCTAACATTCATACTACACAACACAGTGCAAGATCGTCTTATCGGTGATATCGATTGGATAATACACTAGAATAGTGCAAGTATTTGTATTTTTAAGGTTACGAATATATTTGTATTCTACACTTGCTTTTCCTCATTTCACCAATGGGTTGATTAAAACTGTTTACACGATAAAAAAAATTCACGTGAAACGTTCACGTATAGGGAATACCCAACTAATAATTACGATATTCTAAAATGAAACTATGACTAAGTATTATATTCAGGGTATCTTAGAATTCATTGAAATAAATCGACTCATTTTGTCGGCCATATTTTAGTCACAGCACTGAAAATAGATGGGATAAATATAAATGAAATGTACGCGTCAAATAATCGTACGATGTAAGGGGTTATGTACACCTGCAAGTCTTATAGCCGAGGTTTTCTGATTTCTTTATAAAAGCTAATTTCATTTCTTAAATAAATAAAAAATGTACATTTACAGAATTTATTTTAATTTACGGTGGTCATCCCATGTGACGACCTGTTTTTTTTGGATATTTCAGTAATTCCAGTAAATAGATAGAGCTTTCAGTTTATTATAATTTAATGAGATATATTTCGACAATATACATATACATACGTAAGTTTTTAGATTAAAATATTGTGTAGAACTGAAGTCACAGCGTTTTGAACATCCTCGCCTCGAAAAAATGGGCTTGGGTTATCTGAACAGTGACAGTAAAAGAATTTAATTCAAAGTATTGACTATTGATTTTTACACAATCGATTAATCCATGATTTTCCCATGATTTTTTTTTTTTTAGGATTCTTAAAATAAATCAATTTTTCATCGCCAGCAACAGTTCGAGGTTCGAGGCAAAACTGATTTTCTTTCGTGTATTGGAAACAAAATTTCACATATGTTTTTCGGGTTTCCATTTGTCTTTCATTCAATTCATGTGACACCCATTTTCCACACTTTTGTATCTTTCCCATAGCTTTCAAACCATTGCAGTGCATCACACAGCGATAATCACCTCAACACCCTTTACTGAATTATTTTTGTAAGCGTGAAAATATTTTACTATCTTGACCATGTACAGTGTTTCGCCAAAAATCTTCAACTTGTTTCTAGTATAGTCAGGTATACTCAATGAGAGGATTATTCTGCGTATTCGATATACTTGACACTATATTATTTAAGGTATTATAAAGTTGTATTATGTAAACAAAGCTGTTATGGTTACGCAAAATACACTTTATAATTAAGTTAAATCGTTTCTCATTTTATTTGATGTTCTAGCTACAATCCTGATACCATACTTTAGGTCTTCTACTAATTTTCTGAAAGTTTTTGGTTATTACACCGAGGCTTGAGCTCGGGTGCTGTTTGGAAACCAACTGAAAAGAGTTTTCAGATAACAGTGTGTAACGGCAGCCTTCATTTACCAGGAAAAATGTTCTGCTAATTTCTTTTAGTTAATCGAAGTCGTCTTAAATTTTTAGGTGTTTTAATGTTTCCAATTTTTAAAAGTATCGAACTAACTATTCGCACGTCAATGGTTTCGATTATATATATAAATAATAAACACATTATCTGCTATATTTCATATAACCTAGTCTATTTCCTAAACTATTTGTTTTTACTTCAGTGGAAGAGCCAAAGAAAGCTTACAATTAAGATTTATGCTAACTGGTTGCAATAAGATGAGTTTATATTGAATTGAAATAAAAGAAATAGGAGAACTCAATCCGAAAATAATATCTTTAGAACGCGCTGTGTAATCGCCATACTTATAAAGTAACTGAATAATAAGTGGTAGATTAGACAGAGGCCGCCAAATTGCAACGGCGCCGCAGGCCAACTATATGCATGTACCTACGTCAATTGAAAATCCCTTTATAGATACTACATATATAATTGTATGTGTGCATGTATGCTGGCAAGCGGTTGTTTGAAATAAGCAGAAACTAATATTTCAACGCCATAAATCATGAAAACACCGTTGGCACCAAACACCTGCGTATTTCACCTGCACGTCGACGCTGCACAGCGTGCGGATATTTGCGGGCGCCACAAACGCCCACCTGGCTATTGAATAGGGAATAACGAATTTTTATGTTAGCGGCGTAGTTGGATGGCGCTGACTACCTGACATTACACCCCTGACTTCAGCAGTCACCTTCATTTGCCAGCTTGTGCGCGCCAAGTGTCAGCAATATGAGATAAGAGAGCAATGTTTCGCTTTACATTGTCCTACTGTTGCATAGCACAGCATGGGTTAGTGTTATTTAACGTTTTTTATGCACAACAAACATGGCAGCGAAACAAAAGTAAATAAGGCAAAATTTATGTGCTTGTTGTATGTGTGACAAGGAGATTACAATAACAACAATTTACCAAATATGTATGTGTACGCACAAGCTTTCGCCAGGTAAAAGCTATTACTAGTTAACTGAAAAAATAAACCATACACACGTGTACCTAAATATACATATATATGTACATAATAAGTAGCACCACCGGAAAGTAACATAGTGGAAAATATAAGCATATAGGAGATCACAGTAGTAGCATTTGTTCTGGAGATATTTATCGATTTTTATACTCTGATCGTCGAAGACCCTATTATATATAAATACAAATGATAAGCCGTCCAACTGTCTGTATATACGCGAACTAGCTCCTCAGATTTTGAGATATTGATCTGAAATTTTGCTTACGTTCTTTTCTCCTCAAAAACCTGCTGATTCGTCGGAAATTAAATTCTTGTATGGAAAACAATTTTTTTTTTTTTTTTTTTAGCTTTTGTAATAGGCTTAATTTTGTTAAAGCCGACTAAAAAGCTGAAAAGGGATTTTTGTTTTTTAGCTTGGCTAGATTTCAATGGAAATTTTGAATTGAGTTTCTCAAATAAAAACCATATTTTGTGATCATCAAAAATTAGTTTGCAAATTTGTGAAGTTTCATTCTGAAACAGCCTCTTTAGAAGTACGCTGGGTTCATCCGCCCGCTGTAACTGATCGTTTCTGCGAATTTTTTACGAAATATCGAGATAAATTTAACACTTAATCTTGAAAATTTTACTTAGTATATAGATCTAAAATTTCGAAGTATTGAAATGTTCGTATCGTAAAATTTCCAAACTTCAAATGTTGTGACGCTGAAATAGCTAAGAAAATAATGAAAATGGAGGTAACTAACTGCTTAGCTAATTTTCAATGAAACCCAAAAAAAAAATAATTTTTTTTTTAATTTACTTATTCATATTTATTCGCACGTAGACTAAACTCGTTTGCCTTCAACACAACAAACAAACAAACCGGTAGAAACAGGAATATATTTAGTGATTGCTAGTGAAAAGTGGGTGTACAAATGTTAGGGCATTACCGTTTACGATGCAGTTTGCGGTACCCACCAGTTCGATATCGTCAACGCACGATTGCGCGCTGAAATATTTTAATTTCCTTTTGTTCGACAACTTCGAGCGGGGCTAGCAAAGATTGTGGTGACGTTAATAAACAGGCTCCCCTCGCATGCTCGCCAACAGCGTATGGAGCGACCGCAACAAGCTTGGTAGCAACAACATAATCGAAATTTCTAAATGGCTGAGAAAAACTCAAATACAGCAAATGGTAGAGTTACTCGAGTTACAGAAAAACAAATACAAAACTTCATGAACAACTAAAACAAGCTGTGTGGCACTACAAAATCACATTGAGAACGACCACTCGCACACGTCCTGTAAACCTTCCCCCCAAAATCGGCATTTACTTCCGTTTCCGTCGTATCCAGTTGCTCACACAAAGGCAGGGCCAAAGCGGTTAAGCGGTTTGTGGGCAACTAGCTCAAGGGGTGCGTTTTCGATTTTCGATTTTCCAATTTCAGTTTTAATTTTTTGTTTGTTTGTTTGTTTCCTCTTCTGTTTTCACTTGGCTTTAGCTTTATGCTATTAGTACTGCACCTGAAGCGCAGGAAAATGGTATTTGCTTTGCTTTCGATGCGTTCTCTTCTACTTTTTAGATACATAGAGAATTCACTAACAGTAAACAACAAAACACATATCTAGCATATACAATAAGAGCATAGAAATATTGATGATTTATACAAGGTTTTTTGGAGTAGTTGAAACCTTAGTTTGTAAAACACTGTTAAATGTCGGTCATAAGATATAATTTGCACATCGTCCTATAACGTTTTTGAGTTAGATATTATAACTGTCCTATTACTTTGCTGTCCTATTACTTATTACTTTATTGTAAGAAGAATAAAGTAAAGTTTCCAGTAATCAATTATACTTCGCTATAGAAATTCGCCAAAAATTATAATAAAAATTATTG